AGCCAAACAATAATTTTGTCTTCAGTCTGTCTACGCTTGAGCTCTGTTGGATGAGTCTCATGCACATAAACATTTTGAGCAGTCTCTCCAGTTGCGACTTTCCAAATGTATTGAGACCACTCCCATATTTATTGCCAGCTGTTCTTTTTATGAATTCTGTAACCTAGGGTCTGGAGAGGAACAGATCTTGAAAAGCTGACTTCAAATAATTACTTTGTGCTAACTTCCAGAGGAGATGCTGGGTTAATTTGCTGCAGGCTAAACAATGAAGAGTGCAATTTATGTGATGTAATTATGCTAAACCACTTCTATGCAAAGCCCAATGGAATGGCTGAGAAATAGACTTGTCCTCTTACTTTTCACAAGTTCAAAATACTGAAAACAGTTCCAATTAGCATTCAGAAGTGGAATCTAGATACGTTACCCAAGAGCCTAAATAGATTGTTTGAACATGAGAATTTCAATGGGTGATCATGAATCAGTGCTAATACTAAACAGTAATCAGTTACGTTACTTTTTGTTTTGTTTTTCCTCCCTTTTTTAAACTAATAATGCCATGTTTCATAGCAAGGAGTAGATTTCAAAGAAATTTCTTATTCTGTGATTAGCTTATGCAAAGGTCACCTTAATGATTCAGTCTCAAGAAAAGCTAATGAGAAAAATGAAATATTTCATAGCGTGTTTAGGAGAAATATTCCCATGATGAATGAGAGATTTTTGAGATTTCTTTTTTCATTGGTTCATGCTGGAAATAAATTAGTCTGTATCCCTAGCATGATTATAATTTCTTATTGAAATCCTGATTATGTAAAGACTTGCCTGCAACCATTTTTTTGTTGTTGTTAAAAAGGCAAACAATTTAGCAACAGTAAGTATGACTTGCTACTTTTGCTATACAACCTTTCTAAATAAACAGAGGTAGCAGGATATGAATCTGTCTCAGCCCAATAACACCGTATTTGTCAGGATATTGTGCTATTTTTCTAAGTTACATAACTCATTTATATTGAACAAGTTAATTATTATTGCCAGTTCTAGGAAAAGCCACAAGTTGTGTGTATCTATTTCTAGGGGGTTATAGGACAATGAACATTAGATTCCCTTCCTCTTATCGATCATACTAATACAATACTGTATCTATTGACCGAATTCCAGAACACAATCACATACAGATTTATTTAGTCTGCTGAACAGGGATTGGACTGCCTGAGAGAAATGTTTCTCAATCCTGGCAACATTAAGACAGAATAAGGAAGGGACCTTGGAGGTCTTCTAGTCCAACTCCCTGTTCAGGCAAGAGATCCTATACCATTCTGAACAAATGGCTGCCCAATCTCTTCTTGAAAACCTCTAGTGATGGAGCACCCACAGCTTTGGAAGGCAAGCTGTTCCACTGGTTAATTGTTCTGTCAGGAAATTTCTCCTTAGTTCCTTATAATAACCTTTATTCTATTTTTTTTAAAAAAAAACATGAGAAGACAGAGCATGAACTTTGAAGTTGTTTATCAATACTTGGTGTCTGGACAAATATACAAATAGCCAATTTAATGGGATAGGCATTTTGCTAGTTACACAGCAATAATTAAAACACTGTTTGCAGTGAGCCATTTTTTTACACATAGAGGAAGTTCTAAATTAGTTTAGCACACTCTTTTGGCTGATATTCTTAAAGAGAAGAGGATTGTGAGGTGTGACTATATAAAGATAATCAGATGTTAGAAAAAGCTGGGCAATGTTGAGGATCAGGTGCTGCAACTCAACTTTCTAACCTTTTGAAGAACCAAGAAAAACTATTTGGTTATACCGGAAGAGCTATCATTGAATTTTTACTTGGTTTTTGAGAGAAATATTTAAGAGTAAAAATAAAAGTAGTAGGAACAAACCACTTTTAACTCCCATTCTTACAACTCAACCCCTACTCCAAATGGGCCATTCTATTGCCACGTTCAGTGGCATATTCTTAAGGTGCTGGGACCTGAAAATGATATTTGAGGGAATAGAGTAGAGTAGAGTAGAGTAGAGTAGAGTAGGGTAGGGTAGGGTAGGGTAGAGTAGAGTAGAGTAGAGTAAAGTAAGGTAGGGTAGGGTAGGGTAGGGTAGAATAGAATAGAATAGAATAGAATAGAATAGAATGGAATGGAATGGAATGGAATGGAATGGGATGGGATAGGGTAGGGTAAGGTAGAGTAAAGTAGGGTACGGTATGGTAGAATAGAACAGAACAGAACGGAACGGAACGGAACGGAACGGAACAGAACGGAATGGAAGGGTAGGGTAGGGTAGAGTAGAATAGAATAGGATGGAAGGGAAGGGAAGGGAAGGGAAGGGTAGGGTAGGGTAGGGTAGAGTAGAGTAGAGTAGAGTAGAATAGAATAGAATAGAATAGAACAGAATAGAATGCTTTGTTTGGCCAAGTGTGATTAGAAACACAAGAAATTTGTCTCTGATGCATAAACTGTCATTGTACATATAAAACAACAAAGTAATAACAATCATAATAATGTACTTTATCTATCATAATACCAATATATAATGATTATTTCTGACAGGCCTGCTTATCAGATCAAGACCCCAGTGTACCAGTTTGCATATCTAGTCTATCTGGATGAGATGCATTGGCTAGATTTGTTTCCAATTAAATCTGAAGCTAAGTTAAGAGAGACTGACATACTCAACCTAATAGATTATCTGAAGCAGGAACTGGATAGAAGGAGGGTGTCTATCTTGTGCAGTTTTTTGTAAGCCATTTGAAAGATAGAAACACTTTGTACTAACACAAGTTTTGAAGATTAAGCTTTTTGAATATTGATGGACTGGAAAATAAGACTTCATGAAAACACTATTCATTGCTGAAATGGCAAAAGTGGCTGATGAATTTAAAGAGCAGTTAATGTGTGGAAAAATATTGTCTCTCTTCAGTTTTTTCATCTGCAGTACAGATAACAATGATTCCAAGAAGTCTTTTTTCCTTAAACATGAAATAGTGGCAAGCATTTATCCTGTAATTGCTTTTTGACGATGTTTCATATTTATTCCTAAACCCCTGATACTATAAAAATCTTTGCAGTAAAGTTCTACATTTAGGCAAGAAAAACCAAATGTACAGATATAGTATAGGTGGTACCTTGCTCAATAGAGTAGTAACTGTGAGAGGAATCTCAGAGTCCTAGTGGCCAATCACTTAAATATGAGCCAGCAGTCTGCTGCAGCTGCAAAAAAAACCAACACAGTGTTAGGCTGCATTAACAGAGGGATAGAATCAAGATCACGTGAAGTATTAATACCACTTTGCAATGCCTTGGTAAGGCCACACTTGGAATACTGCATCCAGTTTTGGTCACCACGATGTAAAAAAGATGTTGAGACTCTAGAAAGAGTACAGAGAAGAGCAACAAAGATGATTAGGGGACTGGAGGCTAAAACACATAAGGAACGGTTGCTGGAATTGGGTATGTCTAGTTTAATAAAGAGAAGGATGAGGGGGGGACATGATAGAGCAGTGTTCCAATATCTCAGGGGCTGCCACAAAGAAGAGGGAGTCAAGCTATTTTCCAAGGCGCCTGAAGGCAGTTCAAGAAGCAATGGATGGAAACTAATCAAGGAGAGAAGCAACCTAGAACTAAGGAGAAACTTCCTGACAGTTAGAACAATTAACCAGTGGAACAACCTGCCTCCAGAAGCAGTGAATACTCCAACACTGGAAGTTTTAAAGAAGAAACTGGACAGCCATTTGTCCGAAATGGTATAGGGTTTTCTGCCTGAGCAGGGAGTTGGACTAGATGACCTTCAAGGTCCTTTCCAACTTGATGATGATGATGATGATGATGTAGCCATTCTGATTCCCTACATATTTTTATGTACTAATATGGAAGGTATTTGTAAGAGCCTAAATTTATTAAGACCCAGGTTTTAGTTTTAGTCTCTACAACAAACTTTCCCATGGGTGCTGGGATGACAACTCCTAGGATCTCATAGTAAGGGATGCTGGTGATTCCCATCCTTAAAGTATAGATTTATATCTAACTGACCCAATTCAGGATAATGCAGATTTAATTGGAAGTTGTTTATATATTATAAATGTTAAAGTGAAAAAAAGTAATTTTGATGAGTAGAACATCTAGAAATCCATGCCAGAAAGTGACGAGCACATTTGCTAATTTACTCTGAGCATCAGGAACACTGTATATATAAAACTGACAAATTTGGAAGATGTAATAAAAATGGAGAGAAAAGTAACATAGTGGTCAATCTTTGAACAGATCCTTTTTTTAAGTCTTTAAATTATCTGAGCTCTCCAAAACCACAGTAATTTTCTTCACTTTGTACTGCCATGAGCCCAAGATACTTGGTGCTTGAGCCAAAAAGTTTTCATAGCAGCCTCATTTGTGGGGGAAAAAAAATCATTATTATTTTGAATAGTAAAATTTTCCTACTTAAAGTTATTAAATTTTGCTACCGCTGTCTAGCAGAAGTACCAATCTGTATGCCAATTGTGGCATGCATTCGTCCAGCAAAAACTCTGATGAAATGTCTAACCTTATATCTCTATTTCAACAAAGTATTTTAAGACACATGGTATTTATTTATTTATTTATTTATTTATTTATTTATTTATTTATTTATTTATTTATTTATTTATTTATTTATTTATTTATTTATTTATTTNCAAGTCTTGAGGGCGCGGCGGAAGGAGGGGAGATCCGGAATCACCCGGATCTCTGGGGGCAGCTCGTTCCAGAGGGTGGGCGCTCCGACAGAGAAGGCTCTCCCCCTGGGGGTCGCCAACCGACACTGTCTGGTTGGCGGCACCCTGAGGAGGCCCTCTCTGTGGGAGCGTATCGGCCGGTGGGAGGCAATCTGTGGCATCGCCCAAGCAGGCATAGTTAGAATGTCTCACTTGATCACCGATTGTCAGGCTATTTCTCTTTTTTTGACAATCCTGTTGATCCTAAAACTTTACAGTAATATTTAACTCTTTCTAATACATTTTTCTCTTGTAGATTGGACATTCATAATCACCACACTCCTAGCAAGTCTGAACAGCTGTTGTAACCCCTGGATCTACATGCTTTTCACAGGTCATCTTTTCCACGATCTTTTGCACCGGTTCCTTTGTTGTTCTTCACGGTACTTAAAAGCTCGGCAAGGATGTGACCTGAGCGTCAGCAAAAAAAGCAATTCATCCACTTTTGTTCTGAGTCTCAAAAGCTCCAGTCAAAGAAGTTTTACCCAGCCATCCACAGCATGATCTAGAAAGATTCAGCTGTCTGCAGACTATACTAAAATGTTTGGTTAGAAATGGCTTTGGTGTCTACTTAAGAAAATGGGGCAAAGTAATATGGGTGCATGTTAAGTCTGGGCATAAATATACTGTATGTGTAAAAATGAGTGTATGTGTATGTGTAGGGTATTTGTTAATTGATATGTAAGGTAATAGAAAGCTGGCTATACTATGATTCAGGATAAATAATTTGGACCCTTCAAGAACTTTGAAGTTCTACTCCTGTCTGGCCCAGGGAGACAAATTAGTAATATTTGAAGAACAATATATTTTCTATATTTGAGCCAAGTAATAGTTCCCATGCAAAACATACAAGGTTTGACTACAATGCTGATGGGTTCCACAGATTAATGAAACCTACAAACTGAGCAACAGATTACACTTACAAATAACAGGAATAAGAAGAAAATATTGTCTCCTATTGTAAAAGCAATAGAGTATAAGTCAAATGAATATGGTGGAGTCTTCTAAGCCAAACAACACATGGAGTAGAAAAACATTGTTACTTCTCGGACTGACCATTCAATCCACAACAAGCAATTCAATTCTTTAAACACCCAATCATTACCCGAACTTGCAGTTACGTAATGACTAATCATGGAGAAAAATTAGGGGAGCCCAGAACGATACCAGGAACTACATTTGAGGAGGAAGCAATAATTCCTGAAACTGAAGTTGACTTTTACAGATATTTTATGTTTTTTTCTAGTGGCATCATTCATTTTTTTCACCAACATTTGACTGTGAAATGTCAGCCCTTCAAGACTGTCAGCATAACTTTGTGTATCGCTCATTAACTGTTGACAAATCTAACACAGCAAGCTTTATAGAGAATGCAGACAATGTTTTGTAGAAGAATACTAGTTAACCCATCATTACCAGGTGCCTCTTGCAAAATCTAACCAGAAGGGGAATGTTGGAAGGTAGTTTTAAGGCACACTTTTGACTAGATAACAATGACACCCATCACTGCCCTTGTCAATAGCTGATACATTCTACATCATGACCCAAAATCCCTTTCACTTGCAGAAAACAATGGATTGTTTTTTTTAATGTGATAATATTCCTGCAAGAGACCAGTGACCAGTACTTTCTGATATTAAACACATTGAATGTCAGTCATTGACTGTTGTAGCAGAAAGTATCAAATGTTTAGCCTGGACAAAAAGAAAAGTAAGATAGCAAAGAAAACTGTCAGATTTGAACAATTATCACAGAGAAGATGGAACAGATTTATATTCTATGCTTCAAAAAGTCAGAACTACTAAGAATGGGTGGGAATGCCATTTTTGGCTAAGCATCAAGAAAAACTTCCTAATGTTATGACAGGGGAATAAATTATCTCTGGAGATGTTGAACATTGAATTACCTCAATTATCTCTGAAAATATTTAAGCAGAGAGGCTCTAGATGTATCACCTTTCACCAGTGATGTATATAGATGAACTTTGAAGTTCCTTGAAGCTCCAACATATTACAATTTTACAAATTAATGAAGTGAGGTATTACTCAATTTTTAATGCAGTCATTAAATATTTGGACAATATTTAGAGACTATCTGAGGATCCATCAAAATCTGCAAGTTGAAATTGAATGATATTCTAAAGGTTTTCCATTTGCTACCTGATATAGCTCTGCTCTTGATTCTACTGCATGTATATTGGCTAAATATTTTCAGGGAATGAACCTGGAGCTGTTTTAGCTGCATTCCACAGATTTCATCTTTTTATTATAAATGAGATCAAAAAGAATAGTACAATGGAGACTTTTTTAAAAAATATGTTGACAGCTCTACAGTAAGTGTACAATAAAGATAGTCCTTGTTTAACAACATTAGATGGAATTGCCATCGCCAAGCAATATGATCTGCAAAGTCGTGACTGTGCCATCTAGCAATAGCGGTTCTGACAGTCCTGGTGGCGATTATTAAGTGATGACCATGCAGATCATTAACCATTGTCATTGTGACTTCTAACTTCCTGCCAGCTTCCCCATTGACTTTGTTTGTGGGCAGCCAGCAGGGGAACATTGGAAATTACAATCACATGACTGTGGCTTGCTCTAACATTGTAATTGCAAGCCAGGCACCAAATGTTCAGATCACAGTTATGTGACTGTGAGGATGCTGTGATGGCTGGAACTGATGGCATAACATGGAATGCTAGAAGATAAAACTCACAGTTTCCTAGCATGTCTAAGCTCTTCCTTAAATTGGACCAGTTAGGCGATAGATCTGTTGTCTTTTCAGAAGATGTATCTGAATTTAGTCATTTGATTTTAATGAGGAAAAAAGTTGGCCAATTGAAAGCTGTGGGATGGACCCTGAGAAACAGGAGCAGAAAGAAGCTAGCAGAATGGCATTTTCCATCAGAAGCTCCATGTGGCATCCTAACTAAGGTTTTGAAATAGGAATGGGGAGACTTGGTTCAAATCCACCCTCCAATACAAATGCACCCAAATGGGTGATTGGGGTCAGTCATTTCTCGGCCTTATCTTTGTTTCCAACATCTGTTTTCCTGGCCTGGAGGGGATGATGCATGTGAGTGGATCTCTGTGGGGAAGGGAAGTTGTCCTACTTCAGACATAAGGAGAGGGTCATCTCATTTCATGCTGTTCAAGAATCCCACCCTTCAGGGAAGCTAGTATATCATAAAGGAGAAGTCAGTAAGAAGAGGAGGTGGTGATCTTACCTTTTGCAAACTTCCTTTTGCTCAAAGTTCTCAGGAGCCAACCTCTTGTCTAAAAAAACCAAACATTTGCCATGTTCACTGACTTTACGTAAGATAACTTTGATTTAATAGCAATAGCACTTAGACTTATATACCGCTTCACAGCGCTTTACAACCCTCTCTAAGCAATTTACAATGTTAGCCTATTGCCCCCAACAACCTGGGTCCTCATTTTACCGACCTCAGAAGGATGGAAGGCTGAGTCAACCTTGAACCACTCAGAATTGAACTTCTGGAGTGAGCAGTGAGTTACCCAGCCTCTAACCACTGCACCACCATGGCTCTTCTAATACTAGGTGACTATTTGTTCCTTGCTGTTTAATTCAAACAATATTTTTCTGGAAAAAAAATATTTGAAAAAAGTACATTTGAGTAAGTAGTTATCTTCTTTTTTTAAAGAGAAAAAAAAATCAAAAATAAAAGATACAAATAGGACCCAAGAAAAAAGAATGCTAAAGTGTATTATACAAGAAAAGTAAATATAAATATAAACTCTAAATAAATGTAAAAGTATCGTACCACCGAGGTTGCTCTGTGCTGTGACTTTCTATAGAAGTACTCGTTTTGCATTTATGGAGTCCTTTCTTGTGTCATTTGATCAAAGATATTTCCAGATTCTCTGCCTGCAAGGGATAAATCTGGCCACAATAAAGAAGGGAGGTGTTGGAAAGAGACCAATGAAGAAATATGGCAGAAGAAAAAAAATGTTTTTATTACATGTAAGTTTAAAATTTTCTGGGCAATGTTTTATTAACACAAAGATAGTAGATGTATTTAATGTCCTGATAATGTAGGTGCAAGTTACAACACAACATGAATAGTTTTGTTTAGGTGACATTTATTTATAAATAGATCTATAAATAACTATTTTAGTTGACTTTTTATCCAAAGCACTTCCAAAATAGAGACTTGATGTCTACTTATTTGATTATTCAAATAAGAATAATTTCTATCATATTGAATACAGACAATAAGATTATGGAGCCTTTAACCATTATCTGTAATACTAAAGACTACTCAATGCCTTTCCAATAGGAAGAAGAATCACAACAGCTGGTACACAACATGGGGAAGAAAAAAGTACATTGACTGGTCACCTCAGAAGATCAGAATAGTAAGAACCTAAGCCTGCCCTAGAGGATAAACTGAATTCACACATTTTTACAAACCATGATTCAATATAATACTTTAACTATAATGGCTGTTTCAATGATTTAGAAATGTGTTCACACATCTGACTTTGTCAAAACCAAATGTGTACTTATTTATTTATTAAAGTTATATGCTGCTCATCTCACCTAAAGGCAACTCTAGGCAGCTTATAATCAATAAAAACAAGAAAAATAATTAAAACATTAAAATAATAAATATTAACACTGAAACTGACTTAAAAATTAACCAAGATACTGTAGCAAAGAGGGAGCAAGATGCACATAGGGAGGAAGTGGGTTAGTCCATTAACTACTTCCAGAATGATACACACACAAACATCCATCGGGGCCCCAGGCCAATTGGCAGAGCCAGGTCTTCAGGCCCGTTTGGGAGGCCAAAACGGAGAGTGGATCTCACTTGGGGGGGGGCGCATGATATTTCAGAGTGTGGGAGCCACAGAAGAGAAAGCTCTTCGCCTGGATGCTGCCAGCTGGATTTCCTCCAATGGTGTCACAACATTCCCTTTCTGTCACTGAGGCAGAACTGTCTCATTAGGGTGAGACAGTTCCTCAGATAAGCTGGACCCACAACATGAAGAACTTTAAAGATAAAAACCAACTCCTTGAATTGGATCTGGAAGCAAATGAGCAACCAGTGTGGCTTGCAGAACAGCAGTGTAACATGGGCCACCCTCGCAGCCCCTAAGAACAACTGTCTGGCTGCCTTCAGTGCCAGCTGTAGCTTCCAAATATTCTTCAAGGATAGACCCTTGTGTTGCAATAGTCTAGGCGAGAGATGATCAGGGCTTGAGTGTCAGAGCTCAGGGACTCCAGGAACTATTTATTTATTTATTAATTATGTTCTATCAAGTAATTTTTGACTCCTAGTGACCACATATACTGTAGTAGATGGGTTCTCTCCATGAACTATATTAACTATATTACTATGTAGTCAATATATATCATTTTTAAACATATGGTATATGTTTTCCTCAGTCTGCTCATGTACTAACCCACATGGTCCTATAGCTTGGTAGCTATGATACCTCATAGGACTTTCCATGTTATGGGGAAGGAAGGTGATGCTGTTCCCTTGTAGGGGTCTTCATGATCAGCACAGTCCTTTTTTGTATTGGCCAGCCTGGGTGGGAGCCTGCTACTAGCAGC